TTCTGGTAAGACTGGCTAGTCTACCTCGTAGCCCGACTCATTGCGGGACAAGCTCGCTTTACGGCGTATCAACAGCAGACACCCCTCAACCGTCGACTGAAGCCAGCGGCACAATCGTCGATCTGTCGAGTTCGTCCTACCACCACGCCGGTTTTGCCGTTTGTGTGTTGGTGTAGTCTCGACGTCAAAAGACTCGGGTGTGTGGCGATGGCTGGTGACTTGTTTGGACGAGTCAGCTCGCTGTTGGCGCTTGGATGAATAGTTGAAGGCCAAACGTGCAATTCGATGCAAGAAGCGGGTGGTAGAGGATAGTGCAAGTGCATGCAAATGTGCTGTATGTGAATGCGTGACTATATCGCGCGTGGGGGCGTCATAAATTTGTGTCAAAGGTGGAGGTTAGGTTATCGATTTGCTGGGCGCATAGCGCAGTGGTAGCGCGTCCGCTTTGTTCAATCCCCGGTGTGTCCAACTCTTTGTTCGACTCACCTCCACTTGCACGCTGTGCTGGGGCGCCTACGACAACACCGCGCCATTATGCTTCTCCGCGAGGCAAACCATACATCTGGCTCTGTTTCCAACAGCTGCGCAGGACTACTGGTTAGGGCTGCTTAGCCTACCTCGTAGCCCGACTCATTGCGGGACAAGCTCGCTTTACGGCGTAGTCAAACAGCAGACACCCCTCAACCGTCGACTGAAGCCAGCGGCACAATCGTCGATCTGTCGAGTTCGTCCTACCACCACGCCGGTTTTGCCGTTTGTGTGCTGGTGTCGTCTCGACGTCAAAATACTCGGGTGTGTGGCGATGGCTGGTGACTTGTTTGGACGAGTCAGCTCGCTGTTGGCGCTTGGATGAATAGTTGAAGGCCAAACGTGCAATTCGATGCAAGAAGCGGGTGGTAGAGGATAGTGCAAGTGCATGCAAATGTGCTGTATGTGTATGCGTGACTATATCGCGCGTGGGGGCGTCATAAATTTGTGTGGAAGGTGGAGGTTAGATTATAGATTTGCTGGGCGCATAGCGCAGTGGTAGCGCGTCCGCTTTGCAAGCGGAAGGCCCCGGGTTCAATCCCCGGTGTGTCCAACTCTTTGTTCGACTCACCTCCACTTGCACGCTGTGCTGGGGGCGCCTACGACAGCAGCGCGCCATTATGCTTCTCCGCGAGGCAAACCATACATCTGGCTCTGTTTCCAACAGCTGCGCAGGACTACTGGTTAGGGCTGCTTAGCCTACCTCGTAGCCCGACTCATTGCGGGACAAGCTCGCTTTACGGCGTAGTCAAACAGCAGACACCCCTCAACCGTCGACTGAAGCCAGCGGCACAATCGTCGATCTGTCGAGTTCGTCCTACCACCACGCCGGTTTTGCCGTTTGTGTGTTGGTGTAGTCTCGACGTCAAAATACTCGGGTGTGTGGCGATGGCTGGTGACTTGTTTGGACGAGTCAGCTCGCTGTTGGCGCTTGGATGAATAGTTGAAGGCCAAACGTGCAATTCGATGCAAGAAGCGGGTGGTAGAGGATAGTGCAAGTGCATGCAAATGTGCTGTATGTGAATGCGTGACTATATCGCGCGTGGGGGCGTCATAAATTCGTGTGGGAGGTGGAGGTTAGGTTATCGATTTGCTGGGCGCATAGCGAAGTGGTAGCGCGTCCGCTTTGTTCAATCACCGGCGTGTCCAACTCTTTGTTCGACTCACCTCCACTTGCACGCTGTGCTGGGGGCGCCTACGACAACACCGCGCCATTATGCTTCTCCGCGAGGCAAACCATACATCTGGCTCTGTTTCCAACAGCTGCGCAGGACTACTGGTTAGGGCTGCTTAGCCTACCTCGTAGCCCGACCTCATTGCGGGGACAGGCTCGCTTTACGGCGTAGTCAAACAGCAGACACCCCTCAACCGTCGACTGAAGCCAGCGAACAATCGTCGATCTGTCGAGTTCGTCCTACCACCACGCCGGTTTTGCCGTTTGTGTGTTGGTGTAGTCTCGACGTCAAAAGACTCGGGTGTGTGGCGATGGCTGGTGACTTGTTTGGACGAGTCAGCTCGCTGTTGGCGCTTGGATGAATAGTTGAAGGCCAAACGTGCAATTCGATGCAAGAAGCGGGTGGTAGAGGATAGTGCAAGTGCATGCAAATGTGCTGTATGTGAATGCGTGACTATATCACGCGTGGGGGCGTCATAAATTCGTGTCAAAGATTGAGGTTAGGTTATCGATTTGCTGAGCGCAGTGGTAGCGCGTCCCGCTTTGCAAGCGGAAGGCCCCGGGTTCAATCCCCGGTGTGTCCAACTCTTTGTTCGACTCACCTCCACTCGCACGCTGTGCTGGGGCGCCTACGACAACACCGCGCCATTATGCTTCTCCGCGAGACAAACCATACATCTGGCTCTGTTTCCAACAGCTGCGCATGACTGGTAAAGACTGGCTAGTCTACCTCGTAGCCCGACTCGTTGCGGGACAAGCTCGCTTTACGGCGTAGTCAAACAGCAGACACCCCTTAACCGTCGACTGAAGCCAGCGGCACAATCGTCGGTCTGTCGAGTTCGTCCTACCACCACGCCGGTTTTGCCGTTTGTGTGTTGGTGTCGTCTCGACGTCAAAAGACTCGGGTGTGTGGCGATGGCTGGTGACTTGTTTGGACGAGTCAGCTCGCTGTTGGCGCTTGGATGAATAGATGAAGGCCAAACGTGCAATTCGATGCAAGAAGCGGGTGGTAGAGGATAGTGCAAGTGCATGCAAATGTGCTGTATGTGTATGCGTGACTATATCGCGCGTGGAAGCGTCCTAAATTCGTGTGGAAGGTGGAGGTTAGGTTATCGATTTGCTGGGCGCATAGCGCAGTGGTAGCGCGTCCGCTTTGCAAGCGGAAGGCCCCGGGTTCAATCCCCGGTGTGTCCAACTCTTTGTTCGACTCACCTCCACTCGCACGCTGTGCTGGGGCGCCTACGACAACACCGCGCCATTATGCTTCTCCGCGAGACAAACCATACATCTGGCTCTGTTTCCAACAGCTGCGCATGACTACTGGTTAGGGCTGCTTAGCCTACCTCGTAGCCCGACTCATTGCGGGACAAGCTCGCTTTACGGCGTAGTCAAACAGCAGACACCCCTCAACCGTCGACTGAAGCCAGCGGCACAATCGTCGGTCTGTCGAGTTCGTCCCACCACCACGCCGGTTTTGCCGTTTGTGTGTAAGAAGTCGTCTCCGAAGTCAAAAAGACTCGGGTGTGTGGCGATGGCTGGTGACTTGCTTGGACGAGTCAGCTTGCTGTTGGCACTCCGAAGAATAGTTGAAGCCCAAACGTGCAATTCTAAGCAAGAAGCGAGTGGTAGACGATAGTGCAAGAGCATGCAAATGTGCTGTATGGGAATGCTTGACTATATCGCGCGTGGGGGCGTCATAAATTCGTGTCAAAGGTGGAGGTTAGGTTATCGATTTGCTGAGCGCATAGCGCAGTGGTAGCGCGTCCGCTTTGTTCAATCCCCGGTGTGTCCAACTCTTTGTTCGACTCACCTCCACTTGCACGCTGTGCTGGGGCGCCTACGACAACAGCGCGCCATTATGCTTCTCCGCGAGGCAAACCATACATCTGGCTCTGTTTCCAACAGCTGCGCAGGACTACTGGTTAGGGCTGCTATAGCCTACCTCGTAGCCCGACTCATTGCGGGACAAGCTCGCTTTACGGCGTAGTCAAACAGCAGACACCCCTTAACCGTCGACTGAAGCCAGCAGCACAATCGTCGATCTGTCGAGTTCGTCCTACACCCCGCCGGTTTTGCCGTTTGTGTGTTGTTGTAGTCTCGACGTCAAAAGACTCGGGTGTGTGGCGATGGCCTGGTGACTTGTTTGGACGAGTCAGCTCGCTGTTGGCGCTTGGATGAATAGTTGAAGGTCAAACGTGCAATTCGATGCAAGAAGCGGGTGGTAGAGGATAGTGCAAGTGCATGCAAATGTGCTGTATGTGAATGCGTGACTATATCGCGCGTGGGGGCGTCATAAATTTGTGTGGACGGTGGAGGTTAGGTTATCGATTTGCTGGGCGCATAGCGCAGTGGTAGCGCGTCCGCTTTGCAAGCGGAAGGCCCCGGGTTCAATCCCCGGTGTGTCCAACTCTTTGTTCGACTCACCTCCACTTGCACGCTGTGCTGGGGCGCCTACGACAACACCGCGCCATTATGCTTCTCCGCGAGGCAAACCATACATCTGGCTCTGTTTCCAACAGCTGCGCAGGACTACTGGTTAGGGCTGCTTAGCCTACCTCGTAGCCCGACTCATTGCGGGACAAGCTCGCTTTACGGCGTAGTCAAACAGCAGACACCCCTCAACCGTCGACTGAAGCCAGCGGCACAATCGTCGATCTGTCGAGTTCGTCCTACCACCCCGCCGGTTTTGCCGTTTGTGTGCTGGTGTCGTCTCGACGTCAAAATACTCGGGTGTTTGGCGATGGCTGGTGACTTGTTTGGACGAGTCAGCTCGCTGTTGGCGCTTGGATGAATAGTTGAAGGCCAAACGTGCAATTCGATGCAAGAAGCGGGTGGTAGAGGATAGTGCAAGTGCATGCAAATGTGCTGTATGTGAATGCGTGACTATATCGCGCGTGGGGGCGTCATAAATTTGTGTGGAAGGTGGAGGTTAGGTTATCGATTTGCTGGGCGCATAGCGCAGTGGTAGCGCGTCCGCTTTGCAAGCGGAAGGCCCGGGGTTCAATCCCCGGTGTGTCCACTCTTTGTTCGACTCACCTCCACTTGCACGCTGTGCTGGGGCGCCTACGACAACACCGCGCCATTATGCTTCTCCGCGAGGCAAACCATACATCTGGCTCTGTTTCCAACAGCTGCGCAGGACTACTGGTTAGGGCTGCTTAGCCTACCTCGTAGCCCGACTCATTGCGGGACAAGCTCGCTTTACGGCGCAGTCAAACAGCAGACACCCCTCAACCGTCGACTGAAGCCAGCGGCACAATCGTCGATCTGTCGAGTTCGTCCTACCACCACGCCGGTTTTGCCGTTTGTGTGCTGGTGTCGTCTCGACGTCAAAAGACTCGGGTGTGTGGCGATGGCTGGTGACTTGTTTGGACGAGTCAGCTCGCTGTTGGCGCTTGGATGAATAGTTGAAGGCCAAACGTGCAATTCGATGCAAGAAGCGGGTGGTAGAGGATAGTGCAAGTGCATGCAAATGTGCTGTATGTGAATGCGTGACTATATCGCGCGTGGGGGCGTCATAAATTTGTGTGGAAGATGGAGGTTAGGTTATCGATTTGCTGGGCGCATAGCGCAGTGCTAGCGTGTTTGCTTTGTTTGCTGAAGGGCCCGGGGCTCAATCCCCGGCGGGTCCAACTCTTTGTTCGACTCCTCCTCCCCTTTGCAAGTTGGTTCTGAGTCGTCGATGATATCAGCGCGCCACTATTTCTTCTCCGCTATGTAAACCATACATCTGGCTCTGTTTCCGACAGCTGCGCATGACTACTGGTTAGGGCTGCTTTAGCCTACCTCGTAGCCCGACTCATTGCGGGACAAGCTCGCTTTACGGCGTAGTCAAACAGCAGACACCCCTCAAACCGTCGACTGAAGCCAGCGGCACAATCGTCGATCTGTCGAGTTCGTCCTACCACCACGCCGGTTTTGCCGTTTTGTGTGTTGGTGTAGTCTCGACGTCAAAATACTCGGGTGTGTGGCGATGGCTGGTGACTTGTTTCGACGAGTCCAGCCTCGCTGTTGGCGCTTGAATGAATAGTGAAAGGCCCAAACGTGCAATTCGATGCAAGAAGCGGGTGGTAGAGGATAGTGCAAGTGCCATGCAAATGTGCTGTATGTCGATGCGTGGTAATATCGCGCGTGGGGGCGTCATAGATTCGTGTCAAAGGGGGAGATTAGGTTATCGGATTGCTGAGCGCAGTGGTAGCGCGTCCGCTTTGCAAGCGGAAGGCCCCGGGTTCAATTCCCCGGTGTGTCCAACTCTTTGTTCGACTCACCTCCACTTCGCACGCTGTGCTGGGGCGCCTACGACAACACCGCGCCATTATGCTTCTCCGCGAGGCAAACCATACATCTGGCTCTGTTTCCGACAGCTGCGCATGACTGGTAAGGACTGGCTAGTCTACCTCGTAGCCCGACTCATTGCGGGACAAGCTCGCTTTACGGCGTAGTCAAACAGCAGACACCCCTCAACCGTCGACTGAAGCCAGCGGCACAATCGTCGACTGTCGAGTTCGTCCCTACCACCACGCCGGTTTTGCCGTTTGTGTGTTTGTGTCGTCCTCGACGTCCAAAAGACTCGGGTGTGTGGCGATGGCTGGTGACTTGTTTGGACGAGTCAGCTCGCTGTTGGCGCTTGGATGAATAGATGAAGGCCAAACGTGCAATTCGATGCAAGAAGCGGGTGGTAGAGGATAGTGCAAGTGCATGCAAATGTGCTGTATGTGTATGCGTGACTATATCGTGCGTGGAAGCGTCATAAATTCGTGTGGAAGGTAGAGGTTAAGTTATCGATCTGCTGGGCGCATAGCGCAGTGGTAGCGCGTCCGCTTTGCAAGCGGAAGGCCCCGGGTTCAATCCCCGGTGTGTCCAACTCTTTGTTCGACTCACCTCCACTTGCACGCTGCTGGGGCGCCTACGACAACACCGCGCCATTATGCTTCTCCGCGAGACAAACCATACATCTGGCTCTGTTCCGACAGCTGCGCATGACTGGTAAAGACTGGCTAGTCTACCTCGTAGCCCGACTCATTGCGGGACAAGCTCGCTCTACGGCGTAGTCAAACAGCAGACACCCCTCAACCGTCGACTGAAGCCAGCGGAACAATCGTCGATCTGTCGAGTTCGTCCTACCACCACGCCGGTTTTGCCGTTTGTGTGTTGGTGTCGTCTCGACGTCAAAATACTCGGGTGTGTGGCGATGGCTGGTGACTTGTTTGGACGAGTCAGCTCGCTGTTGGCGCTTGGATGAATAGTTGAAGGCCAAACGTGCAATTCGATGCAAGAAGCGGGTGGAAGAGGATAGTGCAAGTGCATGCAAATGTGCTGTATGTGAATGCGTGACTATATCGCGCGTGGGGGCGTCATAAATTTGTGTCAAATGTGGAGGTTAGGTTATCGATTTGCTGGGCGCATAGCGCAGTGGTAGCGCGTCCGCTTTGCAAGCGGAAGGCCCCGGGTTCAATCCCCGGTGTGTCCAACTCTTTGTTCGACTCACCTCCACTCGCACGCTGTGCTGGGGCGCCTACGACAACACCGCGCCATTATGCTTCTCCGCGAGGCAAACCATACATCTGGCTCTGTTTCCAACAGCTGCGCAGGACTACTGGTTAGGGCTGCTTAGCCTACCTCGTAGCCCGACTCATTGCGGGACAAGCTCGCTTTACGGCGTAGTCAAACAGCAGATACCTCTCAACCGTCGACTGAAGCCAGCGGCACAATCGTCGATCTGTCGAGTTCGTCTACCACACGCCGGTTTGCGATTGTGTGTTGGTGTAGTCTCGACGTCAAAGACTCGGATGTGTGGCGATGGCTGGTGACTTGTTTGGACGAGTCAGCTCGCTGTTTGCGCTTGGATGAATAGTTGAAGGCCAAACGTGCAATTCGATGCAAGAAGCGGGTGGTAGAGGATAGTGCAAGTGCATGCAAATGTGCTGTATGTGTATGCGTGACTATATCGCGCGTGGGGGCGTCATAAATTTGTGTGGAAGGTGGAGGTTAGGTTATCGATTTGCTGGGCGCATAGCGCAGTGGTAGCGCGTCCGCTTTGCAAGCGGAAGGCCCCGGGTTCAATCCCCGGTGTGTCCAACTCTTTGTTCGACTCACCTCCACTCGCACGCTGTGCTGGGGCGCCTACGACAACACCGCGCCATTATGCTTCTCCGCGAGGCAAACCATACATCTGGCTCTGTTTCCAACAGCTGCGCAGGACTACTGGTTAGGGCTGCTTAGCCTACCTCGTAGCCCGACTCATTGCGGGACAAGCTCGCTTTACGGCGTAGTCAAACAGCAGATACCCCTCAACCGTCGACTGAAGCCAGCGGCACAATCGTCGATCTGTCGAGTTCGTCCTACCACCACGCCGGTTTTGCCGTTTGTGTGTTGGTGTAGTCTCGACGTCAAAAGACTCGGGTGTGTGGCGATGGCTGGTGACTTGTTTGGACGAGTCAGCTCGCTGTTGGCGCTTGGATGAATAGTTGAAGGCCAAACGTGCAATTCGATGCAAGAAGCGGGTGGTAGAGGATAGTGCAAGTGCATGCAAATGTGCTGTATGTGAATGCGTGACTATATCGCGCGTGGGGGCGTCATAAATTCGTGTCAAAGGTGGAGGTTAGGTTATCGATATGCTGGGCGCATAGCGCAGTGGTAGCGCGTCCGCTTTGCAAGCGGAAGGCCCCGGGTTCAATCCCCGGTGTGTCCAACTCTTTTGTCGACTCACCTCCACTTGCACGCTGTGCTGGGGGCGCCTACGACAAACAACGCGCCATTATGCCTCTCCGCGAAGGCAAACATACATCTGGGTTCTGTTTTCTCACAGCCTGCGCAGGAACTACTGGGTTAGGGCTGCTTAGCCTACCTCGTAGCCCGACTCATTGCGGGACAAGCTCGCTTTACGGCGTAGTCAAACAGCAGACACCCCTCAACCGTCGGACTGAAGCCAGGGGCACAATCGTCGATCTGTCGAGGTTCGTCCTACCACCACGCCGGTTTTTGCCGTTTGTGGGTTGGTGTAGTCAAGACGTCAAAAAGACTTGGGAGTGGGGCGATGGCTGTTGACTGTTTGGACGAGTCAGCTCGCTGTCGCGCTCGGATGAATAGTTGAAGTCAAACGTGCAATTCGATGCAGAAGCGGGTGGTAGAGGATAGTGCAAGTGCATGCAAATGTGCTGTATGTGAATGCGTGACTATATCGCGCGTGGGGGCGTCATAAATTCGTGTGGAAGGTGGAGGTTAGGTTATCGATTTGCTGGGCGCATAGCGCAGTGGTAGCGCGTCCGCTTTGCAAGCGGAAGGCCCCGGGTTCAATCCCCGGTGTGTCCAACTCTTTGTTCGACTCACCTCCACTCGCACGCTGTGCTGGGGCGCCTACGACAACACCGCGCCATTATGCTTCTCCGCGAGGCAAACCATACATCTGGCTCTGTTTCCAACAGCTGCGCAGGACTACTGGTTAGGGCTGCTTAGCCTACCTCGTAGCCCGACTCATTGCGGGACAAGCTCGCTTTACGGCGTAGTCAAACAGCAGACACCCCTCCACCGTCGCCTGAAGCCAGCGACACAATCGTCGATCTGTCGAGTTCGTCCTACCACCACGCCGGTTTTGCCGTTTGTGTGTTGGTGTCGTCTCGACGTCAAAAGACTCGGGTGTGTGGCGATGGCTGGTGACTTGTTTGGACGAGTCAGCTCGCTGTTGGCGCTTGGATGAATAGTTGAAGGCCAAACGTGCAATTCGATGCAAGAAGCGGGTGGTAGAGGATAGTGCAAGTGCATGCAAATGTGCTGTATGTGAATGCGTGACTATATCGCGCGTGGGGGCGTCATAAATTCGTGTCAAAGGTGGAGGTTAGGTTATCGATTTGCTGGGCGCATAGCGCAGTGGTAGCGCGTCCGCTTTGCAAGCGGAAGGCCCCGGGTTCAATCCCCGGTGTGTCCAACTCTTTGTTCGACTCACCTCCACTTGCACGCTGTGCTGAGGCCCAGAACAACACCCCGCCATTATGCTTCTCCCCGAGTGAAACAATACATCTGGGTTTGTATCCGACAGCTGCGCATGATTGGTAATGACCGGCTAGGCTACCTCGTACATTGACTCATGGCGCGACAGCATCACTTTTCGCCGTATACAAAAAGAACATACCCCTCACCCCACGCCTGAAACCAGCGACCCTAACGTCGATTTGTCGAGTTCGTCCCATGCTAACACGGGGACTTACCTATGTGTCAGCTGTGTATCTCCAACCTCAAAAGGACTCGACGTGTGGACGCGATAACTGATGACTTGTTCTGGATAAGTTAGCTCGCTGTAGTGGCTTGGATGAATAGCTGAGA